GAGAAAACTTGGTTTATTCATATACATGTTATATCTTATCTAATAAATTGTTTGCCATCATCAAAAAGGGGGAGATTGTTGGCCCTTTGGTTTTGATGATGATTCGCCAAACAATTTACAGCTAATTTGTTTTCTAGTGTTTGTGGTTTATTTTCTTCTTTTCAGGACATCAACACATGGTGAAAAGATTTCTATATCAAGAGTTAAAGATGCAAGTTTATATGTGGCAATCACCTAGGTATAAGAGAGGTTTGTTTACATATAGTGTATGACTTTATCTAAGCTCAAAATATATATACACAACACAAGTTTGTTCAAATGATTTTTGTTTCAAACTTTGTTAGAATTGTTTTTATGTTTACATCTCTATCATACTTCATAATATATATAATGTATTCATAAAATATAAATACATCTTCATAAGTCATAGTTCAATTCTTATTTTTATGAAAAACAGGTTTTCTATACACTGCTCAAAAACAGTGAGCTTTTACAAAATAAAATTGCATTTCCAACAATTACTTTTCAAACATGCTTATTCTCTCATTTATAAACTTTCCCTAAAGTTTCATAATTGTTGGACAACATTGGCTAATTTTTACATGCCTAAAAATCTAATTTTAAACCTGAAGTTTTCATAAATATCTGTTTTTGGTCGACCGAGCATGTCGCTGCGGTCGACCGCAAATTGTCCAAAGAGCATACTTTGGGTTTCAGCCTTCAGCGGTCGACCGGCCGTGGATCTGCGGTCGACCGCAGATATAGCCGTTGCACTGTAACGGCTACTTCTCTGTTTTGTTTTCTAATGGGTTTTTGGTCTTTTTACTTGGGTTTTTACTGATGTATTGGGTTGTAATAAATACCCTACTGCTTTCAACACAAAAACTTCTTAAGAAAATTGATTACTTAAGTTTACAAAGTGTTTAAGAGGTGTTTAGTGCCTTGTTTCAAGCCTTGTTTCAAAAGAGCAGTTTTTCACAAAGAAGAAGCCTTGAATTTAAATTGAGGAATCCATCCTCATCATCATTTCTTCAGCTCTTCTTGTTCATTGAGAAGTTTTTCTAAACTCATCCTTATATATAGCTTATTATTTCACTTTCATTTGATTAGCTGTATTCATTGAGTTATATTATTTTCATTCACTGTTATCACACACACTTTTTGAGCTTAAATATCTTCATACCATATAGTGTGGGTTGTGGGGTGTGATTTAGTGAGTGTGAGCTTCATTGAGTTCTCACTTGTTATTTGAGAACAAATCATTGTATTTAACTGAGAATCATTTGTAATACACTTGTACACCGAGAGAAGTGTGAGGAGAGAGAGACGGGGTCAAATCCAATAGGAGTGGCGTCGATTGACGAACCTAGGGAGAGGTTGTAATCGAGCACTTGAGGAGGAGGACACGGGCTAGATTCCTACACTTAGTGTGTAAAGTGTGATTGTTGAGTGATTGTGTAGTGTGAGAGTTTTTGGTGAACTTGTAAACCGAGTGTGTAGAAGTTCCGGCTTCCAAACCGGATTGTGATAGTGGATATCTCCTCGAGGTGAGGAGCGGGGACGTAGGTCGTGGGGACCGAACCTCGTAAACATATCCTGTGTTTGTGTGTTGCTTAGCGCACTCTTATTCATCTTTATTGTTCATATTCATATCTTGCAAGATCAAATTAATCAATATAATTTTAATTGGCATTTAATTGGGATTAGATTAGCATAAGACCCTAATCACCCCCCTCTAGGGTCTAATAGTCTCTTTCGTTTTGGTATCCTTTTGTTAATACGCAAGTTCCTTACTCCAAGTAAATCTTCTTTCGAATAGCGCTTCTTTCCAAACCTGACGGCATGGAACATCTCAAGCAAATGTACAATCTGATCCCTACGTAATGGACGCGGAGCATCTCTCTTCTCAACAGTATCATCAAAAAACTTGCTCCTTTTTTTGGTTCTGTACTTGTGTTTTATGTTCAACCACCTTCTATTAAACCAATAACAAAACTTTCGACTGTGCTGCAGATAAAGGCCTTTTAATTCTGGACCACACACTGGACATGCATATGTTCCCTTTGTAGACCAACCTGAAAGATTCGCATAGGCTGGAAAATCATTAATTGTCCATAGTAAAATAGCACGTAGTCTGAAAGACTGCTTTGCATGAGTATCATAAGTCATAACCCCTTCAGTCCAGAGTTGTTTTAACTCATCAATTAGCGGTTCTAAAAACACATCTATGTCATTGCCTGGTGCATGCTTGCCTGGTATCAATAATGAAAGTATCATATACGGTTGTTTCATGCAAAGCCAAGGTGGTAAGTTGTAAGGCGTTAATACCACAGGCCATGTAGACCAACCAGAACTCATTATCCCAAATGGATTGAATCCGTCACTAGACAAACCTAGTCTAACATTCCTGCACTCATTCGCAAACCAAAGAAAAGTTCTATCCATATGCTTCCACGCCTCTGCATCAGCCGGATGCCTGATTTTACCATCATTAGTACGTTCTTCCATGTGCCACCTCATTTGCTTAGCAGTGTCTTTATTCATATACAACCGTTTTAGCCTTGGTATTAAGGGAAAATGACGCAGGACCTTTGCTGGAATCTTCTTTTGCTTAAGCATAGACCTTGTTGTCCCATGTGTTGAATAATTTTTGCGTTGTACCCACCGTGATACTCAAAGTAGCAAAGCAAAAGATCAGGATTCCCTATATATAAACTACTTCAAGAAAGACAGAAGACAAATAACAACTCAAATTACTTGATATATCATCCATTGTAAAGGTTCTGAGCTAAGAAATAAAGAATGAAATGAATGAATTGGCATCAAAATGAGTGCTTCCAATGAGATATTGCTAATTCTCCACTTATCCCACTCAGAAACAGAAAAGGTTAAAATTCATAAGATATGCAATGTCTTAGAACACCAACATTAGTTAAGTCTATTGATGCCGCTTCCACCTGTCTTAACATCTAGGCAGAATGAGTAGGCCCTTGGAAAAACCAGACATCCTCGATTTGTGCTTCCTATGAATCCCAAATATGTGACAGGCAGGGTTTTATACTTTATTATAGGGGTTTCGGGTGCCATTAGGAGTACAGGTTTATAGATAGTGCTTAATATACAAACACGAGTTTAGGATATAACTCACTAAGATAGGTCATCCGCCCTATCCATGTCATCGTCCGCGTTGCCACTGGCGGATCCATCCCTACGACTCGTGCTCCCAATAGTATCATCTCCAATCTAACAACAAAATAATTTAAATTTAGAATCACATAATATTTGTACTCCTCATGAAATCCGGATATTAAGTGTTTCTGTAAATCACTTTTATCCACCAACGCTCTATTTTTACACCAACAGCAGGGACAATACACGACATCACTATTTAACTTCCGTGGGTCTGCCAAGGCGTACTGTATGAATTGATTTATTCCATCTTTATATCGACTATCCCTCCATCTATCAATACGAGGAATATCGATCCATGATTTGTCGGGAACTATCCTCATCTGTATGATATTAAGCATAATTAGGTAATGTGAATTTTTATTAGTAACACATCAAATTAAAGGTTGCGTGATATTAACTTTCTTCACGACATCAAGGAAATTTTAATTTTAATAATCTCGGAGGGAAAATTACCAGAACATAAATTATGTGGGAGTAAAATCTAACGCTCATATTTGAAATAAGAAAATTTAACGGCTGTCAAAGGAAATGGACCTATCCCATTAGGAATATAGTAGTGTTTACAACTACCTTTATATACTTTAAACATTTTTATTTCTTAAAAATTTTGGCAGCACCTACCCGCAGTTCTCTGAGTACACTGTGCGGATGTTATAATGCGTATCAATCATCGATAATAGATCGATTATAGATCGATACGCAAAACAACATACGCTTATTGTACACGGAGAACAATGCGGTACGTGTTATCGAAATTTATAGGGAATAAAAATGCATAAAGTATACAAAGATAGATGATACACTACTATATTCCTAACCTGTACGAGAAGGGGACTCCTCCCCGGATAGATCTAATAATTATTGCATGTATATCATGCTCCTAACATAAATCATGTTATTCTCTTTAGATGTAACAAGTATTTTCACATCTAACTAGAATTGCGTGAGTTTATATAAGAAGAGATTCACATCCAACATTATTAGACGGGAAACTAAGGGTAACGACTTTCATAAATCATGATATATAACACAATAAAACTTGTAATTACCACAAGAGAATAAATTAACCAAAAGAGAATAAAGACCCAGAGAGTAAATTAGCACTTAACATTTTTATAATTGTATTGTTCTCGTTTATTGTCATATTCATCACTATACATATCCTCTCTTTTTTATTTATTTACCATATGAAGTCGTATTTTTGTCATAATAGATTTTTTTTAAATCTTTACAATATTCTAATGATGGATAATTTAGGATAGTTAAGCATAAATATGATAAAAATAATTGGATGTTTAAGTACCATTTAGTCAGCCAACTTATCATACGTGTATTGTAAAAGGACCATGTTTCTAGTAATCTCGAGGTTACTCATATAAATACACAAACTTCATAGATGCTCGTGTAATAACATATTTTTTTAAAGTATTTTCAATTTTTAAAAGATATTTAGCCCCTAGCTCATATATTTTGAAACGAGTTTTTGAAAAGTTGATACTGTAAATAAGTTCCTTAATTAGAGGAACTAAATTTAAATCAATTAATTTAAACTGATAAATTATCTTTTATCACATTCATTCGTAAATTAAATTAGAGGAACTAAATTTGCACCGTGAAACAAGTTGACTTCAAGCAAAGGTTTACACGATAAACTTATAACCTCTGTTATTTCAAAATTAAAACATCAAGTTGTGACAGCAATGCAATCCAACAAAACGTAAACTTATAGATATCAGCCAGCTTGATCGTTTTATAACTAATTATGTATAATTTCTATACACTAAATTGCGACAATGACCAAAAATTACCGCTTGGATCTCCTGCAATGCAATCCAACAAAACGTAACACTCACTTGGACCTTCTTCACTGCAATCAAAGAAATCAACTCTCAAATTAGAAAAAACAGTAAAACCTAAAATCAGAAAAAAAAAATTTGAAAACAAAATCAAAGGAATCATACGTTGACGGGTGAGGAGATGAGAGAGCTCAGGCGACCCACTGTTCGAGTCGGCGCGGGGGCGGTGCGACGGCGAGGTCGATCGGGGCAGCGAGCGGTGGAGTCGAAGAGCGGGAGGGGAAGGTGATGGCGCGGGCGGCGAGCGGCTGAGGTGATCGGTGAGGTGGCGGTGAGGTGATCTCCGGCGGCGGGGCTGAGCTGAGAGAGGGGAAGTCGAGGTCAAGCAGCGGGGAAGAAAAGTTAGGGTTTCAGCCGAAAAAATCTCATCAGCGAATATATAGCTAACATCGCTGACGGGTTTCCCGTCAGCGATGTTTGCAGCCCGTCAGCGATATTTTCATCGCTGACGGGAAGGAATAATCCCCGACGGGAACATCACCGACGGGAATTCCCGTCAGCGATATAAACAACGCTGACGGGAATTTCCCGTCAGCGATGTTCCCGTCAGGGAAACCCTTATTTCCACTAGTGTAGGAGGAGAGCTCTTTTTTATTCTCTTATGAAAAAAACCACTTAGCTAATTTTTCATTAACCTTTCCATAAGAAAGAGAGCTCATATATATAGAGTGAAATATGTCATGACTCATCTCATGAGTCATGTCATGAGTCATATAAATGTAATGATTCCTTTTATGAGTCATGCAATGACTCATCTCATGAGTCATGCAAAGAGTCATGAAGAATCAAAACTATGTGCTAAAACCATGTTCCCAAACCATACCACCTTAATGACTCATCTCATGACTCATTAATCAAGGTATAATAAAGTGTGTATTTCATAAATTAAAATACCACATCAATACAGTATTTCATAAATATGGTATTTCGTAATTTTCCAATCATTGATTAATAAGTCATCATATGACCAAAAAACCAATGAGTTGACCAAAACTCAACTGTTGACCAAAAAGTCAACTAGTTGACTAAAAGTTAATTTTATAGGAAAAATACTAGAATTTATTTTCTAAGCACATAGCATTCTGATTTTACTGATATGCATAACCGTTTATGTGTATCCGGTAAAATCATATATGCCTATCAATCATACGCATCACTCTATAAATTGTGTTTCATAGGATTCAAGTACGCGTTTGGTGTGACTCTAGGGCCCAACATAAGAACTCGGTAGTGGATGATATCCACAAGTACAACAGAGGTGTTAGCTACACATGAAGACTACCCAGGTATAAGTTGTGATAAATGTCTGCAAGATGCTAACACAATTTTATCAGGACCACTCAGTGATAATATTATACAGTCCGATCTCTTCATCAAACCATGTCAAACTATCGAGCCTAGGGTATGGAATACTGTCAAACCCTAATAGCTCGATTAGTGTTTGTTGATATTAAACTCATAACCTATAAGATCAAACTGACACTCAGTTTATCTTATTTACCTCGGCCAAGGATTTCCTGACTATAGTTATATCAAACAATCTTATGACATCAACCCCCTATACTGGGAGAGACGAATCCCATCTTGGCATCTCAATATTTACTTATGTCTCGGGATGCACCCAACAAGAACCGTTATGCACAACTCATTAAGAACCGTGGTTAGGTAAAAGTCTTAGTACACCTATATTGACATGTAAGATATTACACTCATGCCTCAGGTCAAGAGACTACTTATGTACTATATCACTTGAGAACTTCTATTTGACAGTTAAGTATAATTACCAATTAGATGTTCTCAGTGAGTCGTTCAGTCAACTCATTCACTAATGAGTCACATGTATACTATATCATGATGTATCACATCAATGATCCAAGAGGTGGATCATCATCCTACCAAAGGAGAAATAGAGTATACACTAGTCTTCCTAAAGTGAGGATGTCCCATTTCAACACTTCATCGACTAGTAACATTTAAGAATATACGTTAATGACAAATCAGATCTCTTCATTACGATTATATTCGAAATGTCTGATAGTCTAGTATCGTTCTAAGGACTATATCTGTATTTAAAAAAATATCAGATAAATATTGATCAAAATATCATACTATCATTTTGAACAAGGATGTTATATTCATATAGGTCCTGTTACAATATACAATTATTACCTACAGGGCACCTATATCTAACAGTTCCGTTATCGAACCTTTTTGTCAAAGGCTCGGGAAATTCTGGCTTAGTAGAACTCAATGTGTTGTTGAGCTTCCAAATGCTTCTCGTCGAGCATTTCGAGACGTTTCTAATGTTGCTCTTTGGTCGTCATCTGGGTTGCGAGAGCGATTCAAAGAGATAGAATTTGAATTTCTAATGGAAGTACTGCTTCACACCTGTATACCAAAGAATACGGGGTTACGCCAGTAGGCGTGCGAACTGTGGTGCGGTAGGCCTATAGAGCTTTGTCGAGTTTATCATTCCAATCTTGTTTATTAGTCTTCACGAGTTTTGATAAAAGCTTGATGACAGTCTTGTTAAAGGCTTCAGCTAATCCGTTTGTTATGCGATTGTAAGTTGTTGATGAGATGTCTTGAATTTTGAACTTTTCGCAAAATTTGATGAATGCATTACTGACAAACTGATGACCGTTGTCATGTATGATTCACCTTGGACACCATATCGATAGATAATGTGGTGCTTAATGAACGCAACGACGTTGTTCGTCTTCACTTCTTTGAGCGGAATCACTTCAGCCCTCTTAGAGAAGTAATCGGTAATTGCCAGAATGAATAGATCACCATTAACTGACGGTGGATTTATAGGACCGACAACGTCCATTCCCCAAGTCTCAAAAGGCCATGATGTAGCCAAGGGATGTAGATGCTCTGGGGGTTGGTGCATATAATTTGCGTGTACATGGTACGCGTGACACTTTCAGGCATATGCGACTATATCTTTGATCATGGTGGGCCAGAAATATCCCATTCTTCTGATGCGGTTATAAAGTTTAGGGCCAGGTTGGTGTGCACCACAAACCCCTTCGTGCATCTCCCTAGGGACTTCTTCCACCTCTTTAGTGGATAGACAACGTAATAGTAAGCCATCATATCCCTGACGATATAGCGTTTGACTCTCTGTGTTATAATAGAATCTCGGTGCTCTCCGTCGGATTGAGTCCCTTTCCTTCACGTCTTTCGGTAAAATCCCGTGTAGGACATAGTCTATGATAGGGAAACGCCAGTCTCGGGACTCGAACTCAACTTCAGTTGAATACACTTCTTTCATATCATCTTCTCTGTCGTCTACATCGTAGATTGGTACGAAGAGTTAGTGAGTTCTCACTGTAATGAATTGTTCCATTTCGGGAGGCTGTGCTAGAGATACTGCTAATCTACTAATACATCCGCGTAGGCGTTTTGTAAACGTGGAATGTATTCGATGAAGAATCCTTCAAACGATTCTACCATCTCAACGGCCATCCTATGGTATGGTATCAGATCCTGTTTTCTGACTTCATACTCCCCTTGAACTTGTTTAACTACCAGTTGAGAGTCACCGAAAGCTTCAAGGTACTCGATCCTCGGCTCTTTAGAAAAGATGAGTCCAATAAGCAACGCGTTATATTTGGCTATGTTGTTTGGGCATGGCTCGGTTAGCGAGTAGGCTCGAGGTATCACATATTTTCCCGGGGAAACTAAGACAACTCCAACTCCAGAAGAAATCTTAGAATATCCAGGAGCACTTGCTACATTAGTTGCTCGAGAGGCACCGTCGAAGTATAAACGCCAGACCTGTTGATGGGAAGTTATGTTGGCTTTATGGGTTTCATCTGGCAGATCATCGTATACCTTGATGGTATCCGTAGTTGGGTTAGCTACCAGGAAATCACAAATAGCTTGTCCTTTGACCGACTTCTGTTGTGTAAAATATAGGTCATATTAGGATAGAAGCAAGGCCCATTTTGCTAACCGCCAATTTATGAAAGCCGGCTGCGTCATGAATACTCTAACTGGGTTAACATTAGAGATGATGTAGATAGTCAGTCCGACCAAGTAGTGTTACATCTTTTGAATAGAGAATACTAAGGCGAGACACTCCCTTTCGATCATTGGATATCGAGATTCGGTGCCCACAAGGGTCCGACTCAAATAATATACTGCATATGCGTGACCGTTATCGTCGTCTTGTGCAAGTAATGCACTTAACGAGTGACTCGTCGCCTTGACATAAATCAAGAATGGTTTGCCCGATTTCGGTACAACGAGTACGGGGAGCTTTGAGAGATATTATTTGATATCTTCGAATGCTTTTTAACAAGCGTCGTCCCATACAAATGATACGCTCTTCTTTGTGAGCCTGGAGAATGGTTGACACTTCCCCGAAAGGTTCAAGATAAACCGACAGATATAAGCCAATCGTCCTTGTAATCCTCTAAGTTCCTTAAGGTTTCTCGAGGGTTGCAGCCTGTTAATTGCCTTCACTTTATCAGGGTCAATGTGAATACCCTTAATGGTGACGAAGAATCCCAGGAATTTACTGTTGGACATTCCGAGAAAAGATTTTGTAGGATTCATCAATTGATGAGTCCGCATCAGGTCGAACATTGTCTTCAAGTCTTTGATGTGATCATTCTTGTCACGGCCTTTCACGACTAGATCGTCCATGTAGCATTCGACAGTCTTCCGGAGATGATCCTGGAAAATCTTTGACATGGCTCTCTGATATGTGGCACATGCGTTCTTTAAGCCGAAGGGCATAATCGTGTAGCAGAAAACACGAGGGTATTCTAAACGCGGTATACTTTTCATCATCTGGATGCATCTTTACCTGATTATAACCAGAAAATCCATCCATGAAGGACTTTCTCTCGAATCCACACGTATTGTCAATAATAACATCTGTGATGGGAAGAGGGAAATCGTCTTTTGGGCAGGCAGTGTTAAGGTCTCTAAAGTCGATACAAATCCTGATTTTCCCGTTCTTCTTAAGGACCGGGACAATATTAGCAAGTCATTCGGGATGTTTCTCCTCTCTGACGAAACCCGAGTCGATAAGCTTTTTAACTTCGGACTCGATTGCCTCCATAATTTGCGGACGAAACCATCTTTATTGTTGTTTGAGAGGTTTGACATCCGGTTTAATATTGAGGCGATGCATTGCCACCTTTGGATCGAGTCCTGGCATATCCTTGTAGTTCCAAGCAAAAACATCGATGTAATCCCTAATGAGGGCAATTAACTCCTATTTTTCATTTGGCGGGAGACTGTCACTAATGAATATAGGTTTTGGATTATCCTCGTCACTTATATTCACTTGGATTACTTGATCTTTGGTAGGGGGTTCCCTTTGTTCAAACCTATTATCGTACTGCATATTCAGGTGATGAACCCAAGGGTCTTCCCAAGTCGGCATTTGGTCGTCTTCCTCAATTATGGTAGGATCGACCATAGCCATATTCAACATTAGCCTTTTGAACATTTCTCCAAGACTAGCATTGGAGTTCCAGGCTGAAAAGTCGGAAGAATATCCGTCTTTACCTTTATTAGCAATCTGATCAATGACCTGCCAACAACACTCATCGTCGGATGAGGAGACATAGCCTAAACCTCTTCTATGACTGTAATAGTTATCGGGCTTCCCTTTCGGTACATAGGCCATACGAGGTGGAACTCGTGGATCTCGACCAAAACAAAGACTCTCTCCGAGTGCGAAGTTATATCTGTATCTCTACATGAGATTGCGTGCTTTTATGTCATATCTGAATAAATAAGGGGCCGGTTTATCATCATCCTCATCTTCTTCCAAGAAGTGATCTGATATTAAAAATTCCTTCCCTTTACCGTAGATGACTTCTTTTTCACCCCCTGTTTTTGCAGGAATGACAAGCGTTATTCCGAACGAATCCTAAACATGCTTCTTCATCATGCAAGACGATTGAAGCAGTACGTACAAACTAGGGTTGTCATATAACTCTTTCATAATATTATCAAGACACAATGAGTACTCTAAATCATCATTTATTACTACTTCTTCGTCAAGTTGCCAATTACAACTACTTTTCGAAGACTCTTCATCATCAAGATTGATTACAATGGGTACAATGTCATTAAGTACAAAACCACCATCATAATCAAATCCAGCTTCGATATCAGCTTCTTCCCCATTGTCCGTACCTTGGGCCGATAGTTTAGTATCGGATTCAATGCCATAGAGAAGAGAGTTAGTAAAATAATTTTCCAACCCGTTAAACGGTTGCTTATTCGGGATCACCGTCTTGACCTCATTATTAGTGTCTACATACTTAAGACACTGATGATGGGTAGAAGGGACTATAACATTATCATGGATCCAGGGTCGACCTAACTGTAAGTTATAAGAAGTCTCTGCGTCAATCACGTAACACGTGACTTCCGACTTCAAATCTCCAATCTGGCACTTCACTCAGATTTTACCCAATGGTTTGGATCTACTAGTATTAAATCCATAGATCGTAGTGCCTATGGAGGCTAACTTACTAGCCTGTATTTCGAGATTATACAACAATCGGAGTGGCATGATGCTGACAGCGGAACCCGGATCGACTTGGATCCGGTTGACAATGCAAAAGCCAATGTGCCCGGTGAAATATAGGGGCTGGTCATGCTTTGAATTATTCGTCTGCATGTCCTCTTTGGTGAAAGAAATGCAAAGAAAATGGTGTGCTACGAGGTTGCAATGTTGGACTGGCGGCTCTAGTTCTTCAGGAGATGGCTTGATTTGAGTCAGGAAACCTTCATAATTGGCCAAGGCTTCTTGTATTACTTCCCTTGTGTCTTTTGAAAGATGCAGCAATTCATATAAGGTTAATCTAGCCGGTATATTAGCTAGTTGCACCATAATGTCGAAGCGATGTGGAGTACTCGAGCAACATCCCGCACCAATTGGTTGATTGAATCGAGACTGCTTCGGGTTCTGAACCTCTTAGTATAAGGGCTCTGACTGCTTCGGGTTCTGAACCTCTTGGTATAAGGGATCTTTCCCTTTTTGCTTTTGTTGAGTCTTCTCTGCAACTACGGGTGCTGGGGGAATTGTGACCACTCCCATTTCTGCTAATGTCTTGGAGGGAATGATTTTGGTTACCCCATGCTTAGCTAATTGCTCGGAAGCATTCGGATATTTGAAATGATATTCATTTCAACTCCAGGTTGCAAAGGCCTCTTGTTCATCTTCAGAGAGCAGGAAAGCGGAGATTCTTTCATCATCCTCTCCTGGAATGGCAGAGGCTCCACAATAGGAATTTCCCTTGCCTTTCAATTTCCTCTTGGATGACGATCCGACCCACTGTTCATCTTCAATCAGATCAGGATGGACCCAGAGAATTTCGTCATTCGGGGCTGTGTGTGGCACAAGTCCTTTCTGGTGTTGTTTATGAGGATCCTCATTAACGGTCTTCATCTCCACTTTCATCACGGGTTCGGGCTGAAACTAAGTCAAAGGAACAGATCTGAAGCTGATTGACACTACATTCGCTCCTACTTTCTTCTCCTCAGGTTGCTTCATAGTAATAACCCCAACATCAATCAACGCTTGGATTTTTTTCTTTGAGGGCGTAGCATGATTTGGTAGGGTGGTGAACTGCTCTGTGGAACGCGTAGTACTTTGAATCATTAACCCTTTTAGCGTCTTCCTAGTCTTGGATCGGAGGCAACTTGATCTTGTTGTTCTCTATGAGGTATTTGAAAATACCAGGCACTTCGTCTTCTTTAAAAGAGTAAACCTTTGGGAATTTCGGTTCTGAAGCCTTCTGTTTTTTAGGTTGTCATTGCCACTGTGATTGTTGAGATGCCTTTGGCTACTGCTGTTGTGGTAGCGCTTGCAGCTCGAATGTTTGGTTCGTGTCTACTGTATTTGCTTATGCCTTTCCTTTACCCCAGTGAACAAAATTCTGTTGCGGGGTATTAATCGCCGTCTGACCCATTTCAGCCTTCTTCCTTTTGAGGAAGTGTTTGGCTCGTTCTCCTCGTACTTTCAAATCCCTCCAGGTTTTGGATGGCGCCATTCCCATAACTTCAAGGATATCCAACAAAAGATTATTATGACAAGTTTCAAGGATGAAGTCTTTGCTGATCGGATCCCGACAATTCATTGCTTTGTTTTGGAATTGTTTGACGAAGTTCTTGACTAATTCTCCATCTTTCTATTTCTCATCGAATAACGTTCCGATTGAAACCTCGGTGTCATCATCAAAGAAATTTATAAGGAACATGTCCTCCATATCATCCCAACTGCCGATACTCCCTGGCTTAAGATGGCGATACCAATCGAAGGCTGCTCTGCGAAGAGTGCCAACAAATGACTGTACCATCAAGGGCTCATTACCGGGGATTATCCCCAAATAAGACTTAAAGTATATTAAGTGCTGAGTAGGGGAACCCTTTCCGTCAAACGGCGTGATATTAATCAAATTAAACTTTGTCGGGTACGGGATCGATTCCCACTCTCTCGGGTATGGACACGATATTCCAAACCTCTTTAATTCCTGAGCACTCATCAGCGCATTGATTTTGTTCTCCAAGTCCTTAATCTTCATATCCTCGCTCATATCTTTCTTCGAGTGACTTTAGGGAGAAGTGGCGTGGTCCTCTTTTGTATTGTTATCATCCGAGGGGCCACCCCTAGTACTGTTGTCGACAAGAGGGGGATCCATGTTGGTATTCTCTTCCGCTTCCCGATCACTATCAATTTTGTTGGAATTATTGCGACAGCTGGACTCTCCCTGCTGATTTGTTAGTACCGCGATTTGTTGGTCATGCATTTTCCTCATCTTCTGCATAGCTAACTTCATTTCAAATTTAAAAATTTCTTTCTACTTGGTTAACGCATCCTCGAGAATTTTAGTCATCTGCTCCGTGCTGGTCATAAGTGACTCATAAGATTGCTCTACGCTAGATGTCGTATCATCGGAAGCCATTGCTGAGCAAGCATCTGAGCAAGCATCTGACATTTCATCATCCGAGGGTAGTCCCTTTTGCATTCTCTGGTAATCCCTTCGTCTACTGTTCCCCGATCGTAATCGAGTTATTCGTTGGGATACTCCTGAAAATTGGTCAGGACTAAAGAGTCGTGTTAATTTCCCTCTTCCAATCATATGGATAGATACTTCTGAAAATTCATCATCTTGAGTGATTGATTTCTTTCTATAGAAACGTCTGGGTTTGGATTCGGACGTTCCGATGGATATTCTTTTAAATACTGAAACTCTCTCTGGGGAAGTCTTGGGATAGCAGCATTCAAACAACACTACCTTGATGATCTTAGCACACAGACAACAAGAATCCGTTTCTCGGGTACTTTTTTTCCAAAACTTGTTCGTTTCCCCAGCTCGATAGTACAACTCATCGGTCTGATGACCAGAGCAACCTATCGCAAGTCGGGACGACTCCCCAGGTATAACGTCATCATCAGACGAATACACTTCCCTCTGGGGACTCAACGCTTAGTTAGCGTCTTCAAGAGTCACACGTTCGAGGCTACATTTACATGAGCGTAGGACCTCAACGGGCTCCTGGACTTCAACACGTGATCTAATACGGTTAGTTACAAGACTTTTCCCATCTTGCGTTCTCCTCAACTGCTTAGGAGGATGACTATGACCTCCAGCCTAAAAAACCGCTTGAGATCCGTTCAATAGGCCTAAGCGCTCTTTTACTAGAGCTTTGTCTCGATCATCGTGTGAAGGGCCAAGACGATATGTGATCTTTATCTTAAACTGGGACAAATCTACACTGTCGCGGATCTCCACCGGAGGTGTGGAACTCAATGGGATCGAAGAAACAAGTGCAAAACATCTTCTGTCTTGACCATGGTGTAGGTCAGACTTGAGTGATCCATGGGTTGGAGGGTCAGACCTAAGTGACCCACGGGATGGAGGGTCGAATATGAGTGACTCGCGAGCTGGAGGATCGGATCTGGGTATCCCGGGAGCTGGAGGGTCGGATCTGGGTGACCTGTGGGCTGGAGGGTCATATCTGGGTAACCTGCGAGCTAGAGGGTCAGATCTGGGTGACCCACGGGCTGGAGGGTCGGATCTGGGTTACCCGCGGGCTGGAGGGTCAGATCTGGGTGACCCGCAAGCTTCGATCTTTTCGGCCGTCGTCTGGGACTTTGGCCTCCATACTTTGTGTAGTCTTTGTGGTTTCTTTTCCACTTCTTCATTCTGTAATTTTTTGGCTTCTTGCACAAGAATTCTTGCATGTGCAAGCAATGCGTGGCGTTTCTGAATCCGCTCTTGAAGAGTCGATCGGGTCATTTTAACATGGATCCATTCATTCTTCGTTGGTTTGAAGGAGGAGGGGTTGTCCACTCGCTGTTGTGGCGGTTAGCGCCTCATGGACTTCAGATCTGCTTCATAGCGGATTCCATCAACTGGCTCCAAGGCTTTGGCTAGCTGGCGTGCGAGGCGTTAGCGTCGCCTCTGACGTGCTCCCTTTGATAAAGTGGAACATCATCAATAGTCAACCCCTTGCTCAAGGGGTTCTGATCCATGGTTTCAGCCTTGTCGGATGCCGGCGGGACGTTTTGAGCCACAAGCGAAGCAGTGGCAGGAAGATCTTCTTCTTGGGCTTCTAAAGCCGAAGTCCAACGGGTCTTCTTGGAGTAAGCCTTCCTGCACCTATGAG